CCCGCCTGCGCTGGTTCCAGCGGTTCCCAAAGGAGCTGAAGCTGAACCCGGCTGGATTCCCGCCAGGTCGGCAAGCTGGGCCGCGTGGGTGCCGTCAGTTGCTGTAGGGCAGGGGAGAGCCAGGCCAGGGGGCAGTGGGGCAGCCCTCCCGCCTGAGCTGCAAGCTGTGCCCACCACCCAACACCGGGGGTTTTGGTTTGTGACCGTTCCCAGCTTGACCCCAGAGGGGGCTGCAACTCGCCCTGGTCCTCACTCGCTGGGAATGGCTTTTCACAAAGGTTGGTTGGCAGTTCCCACTGTGCTGGCAACTGCCGGGCATGTTGCTGTGCTGCCCCAGTCGCTGCCCTCCCGTGCAGGCCTTGGGCTGTGGGGTGAGGGTGCTCCTGCAGCAGGGAACACTGAGGCACCCCAAATGGCTGAGCCAGGCTGGCTGATCACCCGCAGAACAGACTGGAGACACCCCAGACAGTCACCAAGCCAAGGTGGTGCTGCAGCTCTGCTCATAGACTCGTACCATTTTTGGTGGGAAGAGACTTTTTTGATACCATCTACTTCATCCCACTGCTTGTAGCAGGGCTGACTTGGGCACTGGGCCCACCTTCCAGGTCCTCTTAGGTTTCTTCCCTCACCTGTGGTGTTGCTCACAGGGCACCTGGCCGAGCCCTTTCAGTGCTCAGACTTGGGAAATGTGTTAACGATTTATTATTATTATTTTATTATTATTGCATGAGTTTTCTGCCAGCTGGACTTGCTGGAAGAGCTGCTTCAGAGCCAGCATGAGCAAAAGGGTGGGGCCAGGGCGAGCACGACGAGAGCAGCCGGTGGTTAGATTGGCTGCTGTGATGCTGGAACCACAACATCCGGAGCAGCGGGCAGAGGGAACCCAGCGGCTGGAGCCGCAGTGCCTGCCCGTCCCCAGGAGGTGCCGGGGTGTCGGTCATCCCGGGCAGCACAGAACTCCCTGGGAGGAGCCGGGATTTGCTCTGTTCTTCAGCAGGCGTCACGTGAAGGCAATTGTTGATTTATTTAAATGAAAAGAGTTGGCAGCCTAATCAGTTTGGAAATTAATTTCCTTGTTAATTTGGGGGTTTTGA